TTTTTTTTTTTTTTTTTTTTTTTTTTTTTTTAATTTTTTTTTTTTTTTTTTTTTTTTTTTTTAAGTGAAATACTTCCATTATACATAAAAGAAGGATAATGTAATGGACACTTGCATCCCCAGCCCTGGGTTCAGTTCTTTACTGACAACACAGATTAATACAGCAGAGAATTGATCTTAAGAATGCTGTAGATGACATCAGCATGCTCTGGTGTCAGTTTATTCTTCTGGTACCGATGACAGGAATGTGTCACTGCCATGTGACAGGCCCTAGAGTAGCCTGCCTAGCCATTTCCTGTCTCCACCCATCCCACCAGCTGTAGGATGAGGCGGGAAGTATGTAAATGCCCTGTGCCTAAGTTTTCTTGTCTGTAAAATAAAGATAATGACAGTGTCCGTCTGAGAAGGTACTTGTGAGGAATCAGTGAATTACTTACTATAGAGTGCTCATAGGTTGTAGAAATGTGCTGTGTTGCTCATGGCAGCAGTTTCGTGCGTCAAAACCCATCCGTTTATCCACTTTAAGTGGATACAGTTTATTGTTCATAAATTCAACCTCAACAAAGTTGGTACAAAATCTACAGATTGTATCAAGTGCTTAGAACAGCACCTGGCACAGAGTTTCACTCTCACAGTGGGCTGCTGCTTTTGGTGAAATCACTATGATTATCATCACCTTTGAGCCTTTAGGTGTTGTGATTGATCACATCTTCACCTGTGCATAAATCAGCTACTGCAGCGCAAGGACACGCTTGGGCAGCTAGAAGAAATATTTCATCCTGTTTTGGGCATTTCCAGAAGAATGATTTAAGACTAAAGTTGGGTGTTAGCCAAAAGCACTATTGATACTTACCAGTCTTTTACTAATGATTATTTGTATGCTTATATTTTGCCTAGATGATCTTGATTTCCATTTTAAAAATCAAAGTACACGGTAACTCTTTTTTTATTTTTAGCATCCCTACCCAACAGAGGATGAGAAAAAACAGATTGCTGCTCAGACAAATTTGACACTACTCCAAGTGAACAACTGGTAAGACTCGCTGCTTTCTGAAATCATGCCTGTTAATACAATAGAGCACTTGGAAATTCTGACACCTAGAAGTAGTAAAATTTCTTTGAAAATATATGAGTTCTTTTAACTGGCAATACACCGTTATCAGAGTATTGGAATCAGTGGCAGAATACTTAAGAATAAATCAGCATACACTTTCATCCTACATTTTAATTATTCGTACCTCACTATGGACTTTTCGCCCACATTCTACTTGCCTCATTAGACATGTATCTCTGTGGCATTATTGCCCCAATGCCCCACATTCATTCAAAACTGTGATGTTTTAATGGATGAGCGTCTTGGTGGTTAAGAGCAAGGTGTCCTGACCTCTTATGAGAACCTCTGTTGCTGTCCTACCTTTCAAAACCTAAAATCTTGTGTCACTTTTTCAGTTCCATATAGAGGAGGCAGTCCCTTTGCCATTGGTTGGTATGGTGGTCCCGCTCCACAGCAGGGCCTGGGAGCCATTCCTAGGAGAGAAATGCCCAGGACAACATTCGCATTTATAGATAAAACTTCCTCTTGTAATTCTACTGTCACATATTGTTGTAGACATTTGGACCCTGGCCACGTGTTTCCCCTTAAATAAGAGCTTGTACGTGTGACTAAGTGGTGTTAGGGTTTATAGGTGGACTTCCCTTTTGGTTGTTAGAGATTTATCTCATTTTTATTTACATATTGTTCAAATGTAGGAAGCAATTTCAGCATAGCAAAATTGGCATGCATAAAAGAAAAGAAAGCACAAATTCTACCACTTATAAGCATTATTACCTTTTTATTTTAACTATGCTAAGATGTAAACATGTTGAAGTTCCAATATAAATGATAAAATCTTCCTATGTATACAATTATATATGTAGGAACTATTCTTTGGTGCTGCATTAAGTATTTCTTTTATCTTGCATTGGGACCGTTATTTTTGATTTGGGTAGCAGTAATAGACTATACTATTTGATTTATTTCCTGTTAGATCTTTTAAATAGAGTGTTAAAAATTTAGAGATTGTATGTTGTTGCTATGATGTTCGTAATATATTGAGCATGTTTTTGGTTGTTTTCATGTAGTCTTACATTGAAACATATTTTGGTTGAGTCACAACAGTGATCAATCAATGGAAGATGAATGTTAGACAGAGATGCACTTCCTTGATGTTCTGGTGCTTTGGTCACTGTTCAGCACTGTCCTGACTTGTCCTCCTTTAAGACTTCCTTGTGTTCCTTAACTTGCTATTCTTTTGTGTTAGCGGAATTGTCTGATCTAGAAGGTTTCATGTCAACTTTTAATTTTTAAAATTAATAACAGTTTAATAACATGACTTTTTTAAATTCTAAAATTTCTAAAATCTTCTAATATTTATAGCTACTTTTACTTTGGGGGATTTTCTTTCCTTTTATATTTAAAAAAATTACACCTTTGAATGAGATTGAACATACCCATCATTAGCTTATGCCTCTGCCTATTAGCAGCTCTGAATAGGAAGGATAAAGAAACAAATATTGAAAAGCAGCAGTGGGGCTTTTCTTCCAGGGCATCACTGGGTTCGCGTGGCTGTAGAGCAGCCATGACTTCTTCTTGTCCAGAGTTCTACTTTCTAAGTCATGCTTGTGCTCCAGGAACACAGTTTCCTCCAAATGAAGCCCTGTGGCATCAGTCTAGTTTGTCTATATTATTTGAATGTGTCCTAATACAATTTTAGGTATTTTTTAATCTTAGAATTTTAAAGTCAAGCAACCTTTGAGCTGGTTCAGCTCTAATTCTTTTGTTTGGCTGATGAAGGCATTAAAAGAGAGAAGATGTCATACAGTGACAGACCCGAATAGAATCTGAGTCTAAAAGCAGTGCTTTTTTCAATCCCTATACCAGCCAGCTGCCAAAAACAAAACAAAACAGAAAAATAAAATCAGTGCTTTTATTTCCATGACACTGTGAACATGGCTCCTCAGCTATGTGCAGGCTGTCCATAGTGAAAGCACTCTCTAGCTTTTAATAGATCAGCATGTATGAGTCTAGTAAAAGCTACCTTATCACTCACACTTCTGAGAAGAGAAGGCAGAGATAAGTCCTTAAGTTTGCTTCGTGTAGCTGTTTCTGTTTTAGTTACAGATCTGAACAGGTTCTGATTTGATTGGCTTTTATAGGATGGCTATTCTTTTTCTGTCTGTTGCAGTTCCTTTTGTGGCAAAGTAGCCCTGTACATGGCATAGAGTGGCGGTCACAGTAAGAGTGCACATCTAGGACGTTATCTGTCTGCACGCCCCAGTGACTGCAGGAGGAAGAGCTGATTTGGGGGTTTGGGTCTACTTGCACCCTTTCCCCCTACTTTCGCATGTTTAAAGGCAATAGCTGGGCCGTTGGAGGGATGGAGATTGAAGAAAGCACTCTTTCTCTCAGCATATCATTTTAAGATTGCTGACATATTCGTTTGACATGAAACCATGTCCAGCCTGTCTTGCCAACCTGTAATGTTTGCTGGTCTCTTTCTACGTGGGGTCATGTCGTAGACGTGAGTTCTCAGTCTCACAGAGCAGCCAAAGTCCCTCAGGGATTTCCTGATGGCCAGTACAGAGGTATTGTGCTATCCTTTTAGGATAGTTTAATGACTTAAAACTTCCATCATGTAAGAAATGGCTGGTCACTTGGAATAGCCTTTTGAAAAGAAGAAGCTGTTACCTCAGATCCACGCTACATGGGGAGCTGAGACCAGAGTTGGCAGTCGTGTTTCCCTGACGCCTCAGGCCTGTCGCCACAACAGAAGCAAAGCCATGCTCATAACGTTCAGGCAGGGACAGATTGCCTGATAGTCTTTGGATGTGAGAAGACTACAGGATACATAAAGTTTGCTACTTTAACCTTTTTTTTTTCCTTAGAGAAAAGAATGTCAGATTCACAAATTTCACAGTATTGTCAGCATCATTATGGATATCTAATTGACAAACAGGGAAATCAGTTGAGGTTAAAAACATTTTTTTTAAAAAGGCACCTTGTGGGCCGGCCCATGGCTCACTCGGGAGAGTGCGGTGCTGATAACACCAGGGCCACGGGTTCGGATCCCATATAGGGATGGCCGGTTTGCTCACTGGGTGAGCGTGGTGCTGACAACACCAAGTCAAGGGTTAAGATCCCCTTACCGGTCATCTTTTTAAAAGAAAAAAAAAATAAAAAAATAAAATAAAAAGGCACCTTGGAAGAGTTGGTTCTTATTTAACTGAATTATTTTAAAAGAGCAGGCCCTATTTTTCTGGACGTTTAGATAATTAATATGCTTGCCATTCCTTTTAAGTGTTTGTTATTAGGGGGACTTTGAGTTTCACCTTTTACAAAGGCCTTTTTGATGGGAGCTTCCATTTGCTGACACTCAGGTTCATCAATGCTAGAAGACGAATTCTTCAGCCAATGTTAGATTCCAGTTGTTCAGAGACCCCAAAAACGAAGAAGAAAACGGCTCAGAACAGGCCGGTGCAGAGGTTTTGGCCCGACTCCATCGCATCCGGGGCAGTCCAGCCGCCGCCCAGCGAGCTGGCCATGCCGGAAGGTAGGCGCTGCGGCGGGTAGTGGGGCCACCGCAGCTGCAGGTGCAGCTGCAGCTGCGGTGTTCAGGAGGGCCGTGGAGCAGAGTGCAGCCTGCTCTCTGCACCGAAGACGTGAGGCAGCTTCATTCTGGGTGTGCACGAAAGGGAGCTCTATGTAGGTGTTAAGTAGCACCGGTAGTAGAGTTTAAAACACACACAAACTGTGTATATGAGGTCATTAATTCTGTCTCTAAGACACTGTCACCAACAGTGTATTCTGTCTTTTGTTTCCATTTTTGCTTTTCTTTTCCCTCTGACTTTGGGTGCAGAGGATGGAGGTGGTCCTGTTCTTACCTGGCATTTACCCTTGCTTAGTTCATGTGCCCTCGTCTTACTTTTGTTTATTCCCTTGGACCTCTGTCCATCTCTCCCCTATCACAGGTGGCCGTTCTAGTATGTTTCATGCACATCTTTCTGTTCACATGAGTTCTTCATATTTTGGATTGTTTTCTATGCGTGTATTTTTAAATGTAGGTAAATGGTGGCATTATCTCATTCTGCTTCTTACTTTTTTCATGCAGCAATATACTGTTATTAAGTTACGGGAAGTTTGGGGCCATTATTTCTTAAAATATATTTTCTGACCCACCCTCCCTCTTTCAGGGACTTCAATAGCCCATGTATTAGGTAGTTAAAAGTTTCACACAGTTACTGATGCTCTTTTCAGTTTATTAGATTCTCTGTGTTTCATTTTGGATAGTTTCTATTGTTCTCTTTCCACTTCACTAATCTTTTCTTCTATAATGTTTAATCTTGCATTAATCCCATCCAGTGTGGGTTTTTTTTGTTTGTTTTTTGTTTTTCCTTTTTGTCTTTTTTCATGACTGGTAACGGGATCGCAACCCTCAGTGTCACGCCCATACCGTGACCGGCAACAGGATCGCAACCCTCGGTGTCGCGCCCGCACCACGCTCAACCAGTGAGCGGACCGGTCTCTATATGGGATCCGAACCCTCGGTGGGAGCACTGCCGCGCTCCCAAGCGCTGCACTCTACCGAGTGCGCCACCGGGCTGGCCCCCATCCAGTGTGTTTTTATCTTAGACATGGTAGTTTGCATCTCACCAGAAGTTTTATTTGAGTCTTTATGTCTTTCATGAGTCTACTTAAGTTTTGAACACATAGAATACCGATACAGTAACTGTTTTGAGGTCCTACTCTGCTGATTCTGACATCTCTGCCAGTTCTGGATCAGTTTTGGCTGACTGATTTTTCTCATTATGGGTTTTCCTGCCTATTTGCATGCCTGGTAATCTTTGTATGCCAGACATTGTGAATCTTGCCTTGTTGTGTGCTGGATGTTTTTGTATTCCTGTAAGTTTCTTGAGCTTTGTTCTGGAGTGCGGTTAGGTTACTTAGGAACAGTTTGATCCTTTTGGGTCTGGCTTTTATGATTTGTTCGGTGGTACACAGCGGTGCTCAGTATAGGGCTGATCATTCCCACGACCAAGGCCAGGCCTTCCTGAGTTCTCCACCCAGTGCCTGTGGGTGATGGATTTTCCAGGCTGGCTTTATGAGCTCTGCACACTGTTCTCTGTGCTCTTTTCACATGGTTTCCCCCAGCCTCGGGTCATTTCCTCCCATGTGTGCGATGCTGGGTTCTCTGCTAAATGCACAAGGGGGGACTTTTCCACGCAGTGCTGGTCTTGAGGTTAGGATGGGTTGTAAACCACACTTGTTTTATTTCCATTTAACCTCTCCTGAGTTGCTTTATATGAGGGTACTTCAAAAAGTTCATGGAAGGATTCATACTATCTTTTAATTTCATTTTTCTATGAACTTTTTGAAGTACCCTCATATGCATTTAAAGCTAAGTTTTCCCCAAGTATTGCTTTGGCTTCATCCTTTAGGTTTGATGTATAATGGTCTTATGTTTATATTTAAAGACCTTGTACTTTGAGTTTTTGTTTTTTCTTTTAAACCATCTGAGAATTAGTTAGGAAGATATTACTATTCTACCCCCTGCCCCAACAACATTTCTCTCTCTTCCTCTCTCTCCCACAAAAGGCATTATCTATCTTTTGGAGAAAGAAGGTGAAACAAGAATATCCAGTGAAAAATAAATCTTTCTTTCATCCTGCCTTTTAATCTTTTCCAGAGACAGTCATCATTACCAGCTTTCTGTATTTTCTCCAGTGCATATATATATATCATCTGTCTATATAATATGATATATATAATATATATCTGATATATAATATGATAGTCTGTGCATAGACGTGAATGAATGAATGTATCCCTTTTAACATTTTATCTATGTATTAGCATATCATGTAATACTGTCACCTCTTGCTTTCATCACTTGTAAATACATCTTAGAGATTTTTACACATTAGTCCATGTAGATCCACTGTATTGTATTTAATAGCAACATAGCATTCCAATGTTAAATGTCTTTAATTTGGGCCCTGCTCATAGATATGTGAGTAGTTTCCATCTCCTGCTGTTGGACTCTATAACAGGGCATTTTACACCCATGTAACACGGTTTTCTTTTTTTTCTTTTCAAACGGATTTTCCTTACTCTTATTCTCCTTTTTACTTTGCTTCCCCATTCATATTCTTTTGTATGTCGTTCTCCTGCATTTGGTTTCTTTCGCTCTCCTTGCAATATTTTTTCCCTGGGAATCTGTGTTCTGTTTTATATTCCTAACCTCCACTGAGACCATCTTTGGACCAAGACCTTATTAGGTAGGCATGGTCAGTGTGAGGCTGATTCTAGACACAGTTTCTTAAATCCCTGCCGAACATTCCATAAACATATTTCGGTATCTCAACTTTAGGTCAAACAAGCAAACTGCAGCCTGTTGGGCAATAAAATGTTTTCCTCTACAAGTTCTAATTCAAATAGTGATAAACTTGTGTTCTGCTGCAGGAGCTGTTGTAACCATCACCACGCCTGTGAATATGAATGTGGACAGCCTCCAGTCTCTATCCTCAGACGGGGCCACTCTGGCAGTGCAGCAGGTCATGATGGCGGGGCAGAGTGAGGACGAGTCTGTGGACAGCACAGAAGACGATGGGGGTGCGCTGGCCCCCACCCACATCAGCAGTCTCGTCCTGGAGAACAGTGATTCCCTACAGTAGGACAGAGGCACGGACTTGCCTGACTTTTTATAGTTTGCACAGCAAACATTTTACACAGTTTTATTTCTAATATGTTTTATATGTAGATATAGAAGAGTGCACTTTTGTATTTCCTAGTAAGCTTAAAGAGCATCTTTGCCGGTGCAGCAACTTCTTTCAAGTGTGTGTGTGTGTGTGTGTGTGTGTGTGCGTGTGCGTTGCGTGTGTGTGTTTTGGTTTTTAAAGAAATTCTTTAAGGGTTTAACTCTAGAGGTGTTGATGAATGACCCCTCTCCCCCACCAAGTCCCTAATTAGATTAAGAAATAGTGCTGCCATTTTCTAAAAAATTATGCAGTTTAAATTTAGTTCTGTGGTTTACAGCAGACCTCAGTGGGCTGGTTTATTTGTGTAGCCCATGGATTTGAAAGAAACTTCTGCACCTAAAACTGCCACTGTGAGGAGTCAGCAGCACACACAGCAGACTGAGTGCGACGTCATAGTGAGTGGGTGGCGACCGGAACAAATTGAAGTTCCCTCTTATCCAGTGAGCCTGTTTCATTTGCTATCTATAAAAAGAAACTCCTATTTTTACCTTGCTGGAATTATTGGATAAAAAGCTATTTTTATAAATTCATTATGAATTGGATTATGACTATATCGAAGGTAAAATTTCTAGGGAAGAAACAATACATGCTTGTTATTGCAATTTGGAATGTTCTGAATTGACAAAATTTAATGAACCTGCCCAAAGTTAGCTACCATCCCATGGCCCTCTGCTCTCCCTGGGTAATGATTTACATTTACTACTATAAAGAAAACAACATTTAATGAAATTTTGATATCTTCAAATTTTTGTATGTAATGCTCAGATTGCATTTTACACTTGATCTAAACATATATCTAAAGGTATTTGCTAAATAGGACTTCAGGTAAGTAATTGAGGTGAAATGGTAGCCAGTAATCAGTTAAAAGCTCTCACCATTCATATTCCAGTCTGATTTAAATTTGACTACAGTTACATGTTTGCTTTATCATGTCAGCTGTGTATTGTTTTAGAACATTTTTAGTCAAAATATGTTATGCATAGAGTGTTTATTATAAACTAATATAAAACGTGTTTTACCCCATTGGCTCAGAGCTAGGGTAGCAAACATTAGACTTAATTACATAATTACCAGACAACCGTGAAATCACAGCAGTGAACTGAACTGTGATGGCAGGCTCCCTACGCAGCTGGGTCACACACATTTGCAGTGGTCTCCTGGTATCAATGTTTTCTTGTTGTATGCCTTTGCTTCAGGGTTTCCAGAGCCCTCCCCCTCACTTGATCACATGAGATTTGGAATAATTTTAGGATTTCCGTTTCTTGGTGACAAGATAAGAGTAGGCTGGGTTTTGTTTTCTTTGCTTTTGATTTGTTTTCATTTATTTACTCAGGAGTAGGGCTTTTTCTCAGAGAGAAAACAGGCCACCTTGTTTCATACAGAACGTCTCTATATCATCTTAAATGGGGTGCCCAAAGTTCCATTTGTTTATAAAGGACAGTTGTAGGGTTAGGAAGGTCATCAGTTCTTGAGAGTCAACCATAGTGATTGGTTATGGACCAAGGTTACATTGAGGGACATTTTGAGCTAGTGCAGATATTTTTCTGGAACTGAATCCCCCCCCCAAATATATGGATTAAAGTTAATCATAGCGGAGTACTTCGTAGGTAACTTAAAAGTCAGCAAGAAATGTATAGAAATTTTTTTTTTTTAATTTTAGGATCTATAATTTTTAAAAAACCTTGTTATCAACTGGTTTCAGGAGAGAATAACATTTTTAAGCAATTATTGCATTCCTTATTTATAAACAGTTTTTAATATTTTAAGTCAGGTCTTATCATTTTAATGTTACTTAAATTCCAACTTTGTTGGACTTCTTAAAACTAGGACCTGTGAGAGTTGCCAGCCCTTCTCCCTTCTTTCTTCCCTCAGCTCCCTCTGTCTCTTAGTTGCCCTGCTCTGTAGTTTAGATTGGTGAAGACATTCACAGAACGTGGGCTCATATAGAGGTTATTTTGCCTCTTTCCCTGACTGGAAATCATGTTCACTGGAGTGGTCAATTTTATGTAAGAGGGCTACAAGAGCTGCACCTGCCTGAAGACCAAGACTATGTCGGGGGCTCTGGCCTGAGGTTTGAACGTCCATGCTTTACGACAATGTGCATTCTCTCTGGTTGACGTCAGTTTTCTTAAGCCCTAAATTCTTGCTAAATTCAGGGGAATTAGGATGAAGATCATTTAGAGAGAAGGCACCTACGGACATAGCCTGAGTTTTCTTTAGCCTGTCTCAATGAATAACTAAGGTGCTTTTAAGTAACTTTCACATGGCAAGCCGTTTTGGTTCATAAAATCGCTGCCCAGCGTATTTGTTGTTATTCGAACCTTAAAAACACCTGTTTTCCAGCCCTCGGACAGTGGAATCTGTGAAAGTATCTCCCCTTTGAGCTTTCATTTTAAATGATCAGATTCTATCCCAACTTTGTGCTTGTTAAATACTTTCCTTATGAAGGATCCTTTTGAGTGTGTCATGAGACCTAGTTTAAGTATGTAAGTATGTTACTGTTATTCCTACTGTTTAACTGTTGGGCAGATAGCTAGACTGGCTTTGCCATATCCCAGCAAGTGCTGGCTGGTGGATTAACTCAGCTGTCCATTTTTTGATTCCAGATAGTAAAATAAGTCAAAGTATTTATCCAGTATGCAAAGAAAACCCTTTTACCCAAGGGTTCCAGGAATTGTTCCTGTGTAACCTGTTGAATGAGCCGTTTCCTCCCTGTGTGAGGAAGCAGTGGAGCACTTTTTCTTTCAAACTCCAGCATCCCCGGCAGGTGTTTTACCCGTCGTGAAGGCCCATCTCTGGCAGTTAGTGACAGAATTAACTCAGCAATCTCCCTTTGTTTTGGTTATGTTCGTCTTTGAAACTGACAATCTTTAAAATGTGAATACTGTAACAATATGTTTTCTTGGATTGTTGTCTTTAAAAAGGATTTTTGTGAAGCAATTGATTTATCAAAGCAAAAAAATTAAAAATAGAAACATGATTTATGGATGTTTTATTTTATAAAGCTCATGTCACCAAAAGCTGCTTTTCCATCTTAAGTAAAACATTCAGATTGTTTACATGTTTTGTGGTGGCACTTAGGGTTCATAGTGACCCCTTCACATTTTAAAGATTAGGATCACACCACACTGGAACATTCAGATACATTTACTTTTTCAAGAATCTTAAATTGCTTATGTCAGTTAATCACTGGTATTCCAGGGAAAAATTGGAAACAGGTTTTTTGTTTTTCTTTTTGTAGTTTTCTATAAATCTAATTATTGTGACAGAAATGAGAAGAAAAGGATTCACCAGTAAGATAACATATTACCTTTTACAGTTCACATTGTAAAATTTCATGACAAGGCAGCTCCTGGAAATATTTCAGAGGCACATTAAAATAATTTTAGAGGGTTTTTTCTTGGTTGTTCAGGGTGTTATAACTCCCAACAACTGTTTATGCTCAGAGGCTAAAGTAAGTCAGCATACTTAAATGCTTTTTAAAAGTGCCTCTAAACTTGTGAAGCTTGTTGGTGACTAGGAGTGACAGCTAAGTATATTGTTTCGGGAAATGTTTTGATTGACTGATTTACAGAAAATGAGGCACTACATTGTTTCACCAACTCCTTTGGGTCAGAGGTGGCAGGGTGGATGTGAAATTCATCTATGTGGTTCCTTGGGCTGGCCCTGGCCTCTGGAGGCTTCACACACTTCTCTTGTGAGAAGGAAGAATTTTGTTTATATGGTTTAATTCAGCTCTAAGGTGATGGTTATGACTAAGAAAATTTTATCTAGAGAGAGACGAGTAAATGAATATGATCTCACAAAACCTGAAAATAAGAAATATATTTGGATTAAATATTTAGTGTTTTGCATTTTGTCAAATTATGCAAATATCATAAATAACGTATATTGTGTTTAGCCCACATGTGGTTCTGTATGCTCTAAGAAGAAATTCTTTACTACAAATTATTTTTCCCCTGTACAATTAGATCTTTTCACCTTCAGTAAGACGTAGGATCTCCATATCATTTTTAAATTAAAATTGGTAAAACTATAGATCTACAGCATCTAAACACACGTGACTGAAAAATGTGAGCATTGCCCCAGGAGGCGGCATCTGCAAACGTGTGTGCCTTCGGCAGGCCTTCTTTCTTCCTCATGTGGGCCCAGGTCTAGCCTCTGCAGAGTTGGCTACAGGACTGTCTCCTCTCCCAGATCTCTTCTGGGTCTTACCTTTCTAGTCTATAAGGGACCAGTGTTGCTTAATTGAATAATTTAGTATTTTATATACAAATAATATTTTGAAGGCATCATATCTTGCACAGATGTTTCTGTTCTTTATCTCATTATTTGAATGACCTCAAGTCTTCAGCTCTGTAAAAATCAATAATTGCTTTAATATAAATCAGGAATTCTTTTATTCCAGCATGTTTGAAAAGAAACATTTTAATGATATTGATGGCTTTAGTTGCTTAGACAATTTAAGAAGATGGCTTTTAGAGAAATCCAGGTATATTTTTAATTATTTTGCTTTATATTAACTCTCTTTTGTTCCATATTATCTTAACACAGCAGTCCATGTCAGAAGTAAGTTGTGAAACCTTTAATAGTCTATGTTAGCTTGTGTGTGAGTGTAGACCTGAGTTTTCAAAACCATAGAGTTCTGTTAGAGGAGAATGGCAAGGGGAGTTGGAATACTGCACTGAATTGTGCCAGAGGAGCCAGGGAAGCAGCAGCTCTGGGGCAGGGCACTGGATGTGCGGGTTGCTGCTGGGAGGCCACACAACGGGAGGACGTTGGACTGGGCAGCAGGAAGGAGTGGAGGCTTGGAGGAGCAGGTTCTGAGACATGGAAGGGCAGGGCAGATACTGGGGCTCTAAGGAGGAATGGTTATGAAGCTAGTAGGGGATTATGTAGGAGCTTATCTTTGTTTCCTTGGGATGAGGAATATCTTAAGATCCTGAATGCAGAAATCCTAGGACAAAACACTGGTGGATTTGGCCAAATCAAAATTAAGGATTTTTCTGTGCAATGAAGGATGCCATAGGCTGTTAACAAGTAATAATCTGAGAGAAGCATTTTTCTCTTTGTTTTTTAACATCTAAAGCTGACAGGGAGTTAATATTTAGGATTAAGAGGCTATTCCTGCAAATCCACAAGACTGGAAATAAGTAGAAAAATGAGAGGATATTAATAGGCAGTTCACTGAAAGGAGAAGCCAGTGGCCAACAAGCATGTGGAGAAGTGCTTGGCCTCACTGCAGTCAGGGGTGTGTAAATTGGAACCACAGGGTCTATCAGACAGAGATCAGAAAGGTGGTATCGCGTTTGTGTGGGAATGGCGCTCTATGCTGCTGGGAGGAGTGTCGCTGGAGTCCGTCTAATAGCACCTGATTAAATTAGGAACACGACAGTAGGGCCACACCCTGTGTGGTCCTACAGTCTCAGCCCAGAGGCACTCGCCACCACATTGGTGGTGGTAGCAGGGAGCTGCAGAAGCAGCCTGGCTCTTCACTGCTGAGTGGAGCAGAGAAGTGAATGGGGTGGTGGGTGCACTGCCGTGGTGAGCTAGGCGCTGCGGGCATCCTTGGGTCTGGTTCTGTGGGCAGCTTTGTTTCTTGGCAGTGGGTTGTTTCTTCTTTGTTGTGTGTCATAATTTTGATTGAATGGCGGATATTTTTGTAGAACATTAGAGAATAAGGTAAATAGTCCTCGTGGCCAGAAATGGGCACACCCCTATGACAGGCCTTGTGTGGGTATGTCCACAGATGTTCTGGGTTCAGGTTTTGTGCTGCTGCTTTTACCTTCAGGCACCACAAGCTTCTGTGTCCTCTGGCAGCAGCTGTGGCTAGACCCTGCTTGCTATGGTGTGCTAGGAGGATTGCTCCATGTTCCTGCGCCCCCTCCAGCACCAGCAGGCCTGCACGCCTGCTCCTGCCCCTCCCCGGCAGAAGGTGGCTGCTGCTGGCTACTCTGTAAGGCTCTCTTCTCATTTCTCCTGGCTTAGCCTCAGTCATAGGGGGGCACAGGGCTCATGCTCACTCCTGCCTCTCTTGCCAAACTCTGCCTATACCTGGGCAGGGGCTTGGGCAGGAGGGTGCCTGAGTCAAGGCAGACCTGGGTCCAGAAGGCTTTCTCCTCCTCCCACAGGGCAGTGGGTCCTTCTGGGAGGCAGTAGGGAGGGAGGTTCTCGTCCTCCACCAGAATGGCAGGTAGTGTGTTGCGCCTGTACACTCCTGAGGAGTCTCTCTCTAGCCTCCTTGCATGCTCCCCAATGCTCCTCACCAGCACCCAGGCCCTCGTGACTCTGAACTGTCACACTTACTGTTAGGAATTAATTAATGTTTGAACTATCCTCTTCCTCCTCCCCTGTTCTGCCAAAGGGGGACCAGTTTGTGTCCCCTCCCTCCTTGGAGGAGTTTGTCCCTCTTTGGAATTCTGTCCACTTGGTGGCCTTGCAACTACAGATTTCTGACCTCAAGAACAGTTAATATTTTGTACATTATCCACTTTTTCCCCTTGTTGGGTTAAAGCGGTGTTCTCATGACCTTCTGCATCATAACGGAAGCAGAACCACAACATGGTGATTAAAAACAAGATTTTAGGGGTCGGCCCGGTGGCGCACTGGATAGTGCGCCGCTTGGGAAGCGCGGCGGCGCTCCCGTCCGAGGGTTCGGATCCCACATACAGACCGGCTCCCGCTCACTGGCTGAGCGAGGCGCGGGAGCAACACCGAGGCTTGCGATCCCGTTGCCGGTCCCGGTCCGGTACGGGGGCAACACTGAGGGTTGCGATCCGGTGCCGGACATGGAAAAAAAGACAAAAAAAAAAAAAAAAAAAAAAAAAAAAAAAATTTTAAAAAAGGTTTGGGCTGGCCGGTTAGCGCAGCTGGTTAAAGCGCAGCCTTATAACACTAAGGTCACGGGTTCAGATCCCTGTACAGGGCAGCCTCCAAAAATAAATAAAACAGGTTTGAATGGAGAAAAAAGCAGAAACAGACCTACACCACCATCCCACTGAGGTAAATGGATCATGTGCACACACTTGAGTTTTCAAGGATGCACACACATCCAAAGGTACATCCCTAGGGATTCCCACGGGGGAGGGGGGCATTAGGAATGGGTTGCAAGGAGGGACCTAAGACCGGGGCGGGGGGGGGGGCCTCGTCCTGAGCCCCAGAGTGTGCACTGAGGTCCAAGAGTTAAACAAAATGGGAATGAGGAAGGGGAAAATTGAGGTTTGGAAATCATTTTTATTCAGAATTTAAAGCATTGTTTCATGTCTTCTGGGGGGGGGGGGGGGGGGGGCCTCGTCCTGAGCCCCAGAGTGTGCACTGAGGTCCAAGAGTTAAACAAAATGGGAATGAGGAAGGGGAAAATTGAGGTTTGGAAATCATTTTTATTCAGAATTTAAAGCATTGTTTCATGTCTTCTGCCTTACTATTGAGCAATCTAAAGCCATTCTGATTCCTGATTCTTTGTATGTGAATATTTTCTCTGGAAATATCTAGGGTCTTATGGCAGGGTATGTTTTTCCAATAATGGCCACAGTAATACCTCTAGTTCCATATGCGCTTTTAGAATTTTGCCCATTAAATGAGTCCCCTTCTCTTGACACTGGGTGAGGTTTTCATTACCACCTTCACCAGGATGGGGTGGGTACTGCTACATGACTAAAAGGTTAGGGAATGCTCACCCTTGGGTCCCAGCCTCCATGTTGGAAGGAAGCCCAGGCCACATGGAGAGGCCACGTGTAGGCATCCCAGCTGTCAGCCAACAAGAAGCGCCAGACAAGAAAGAGTAAGCTGCAGGCGCCTGGAGCCCCAGCCTCGGCGCTGCACCAGCTGACTCGCCGTGGAGCAGGGGTGAGTAGCCCCCGTTGGGGCCTTTTCTAGGTGCAGATGCATGAGCAAAAGCAATGTCATTGCTCAAAGCTGCCCTTCTAGGGCTGTTACGCAGCTGGGGCAGGCCTCTTTGTCACCTGTGTTCTGCCACAGTAT